ATGGTTGAAGTTAGTAATGTTTCCCTAACAGTAACAGATAAGATTGAGTGTTCCTACATTACAATTAAGAAAAGTGATATATATGCATGTGTGTCTGTATGGGAGCATGTGCACATGAGTGCAGTTGTCCAGAGCGGTGGGAAGAGAGTACCAGACCTATGAACCATTTGATGTGGGTGCTAGAATGGAATTTGCATCTCTTGCAATAGCAGTACACCCTCTTAACCATGAAATCACCTCTCCAGACCTTGCTTTTACTTTTCATTTTATTTTAGGTCATTTCTTTTTATACTCAGTACTAGGAATTGAATTCAGGAAATCACACATGCTAGACAAGTACTCTACCTCTGAGCTACCTCCTTAGGCAAAAACATAAAACATAAAAAACCCCCACAAAACCCACCTCATTCAACCTCTCCACCCAGTCAGGTCCTACGCACCCTACTCCAGGATCTAGCTCAGTAACTGTAGTCCTTATATCACATCAAGAAGACTTCTCTTTGAAACAGACAGAGACCATTAAAGAAACTACAACCAATGAAAATGTAGAGTTGTGGAGTCAAGTCCCAGGGACACACCTATAATAAAACCACACCTAAGGCCTAGGGATCACAGTGGGAAGAGGGCTGGGAAGATTGTATAAGCCAGAAAGGGTCAGGACGTTTTCTGTAAGAATGTGTCTCCTAATAATCTCAGCAACTACACCCCGAAAGTCTCACTAACACGACTGCCTAGGCATGACCTGAACAAGAACAACAGTAGAGCAGTAGGAGGCATGCTTTTCTCCTCCAGGGAAAGCCCAGGAGACACCAACCATAAGCAAGAACTATAGGCAACTAAGGGATGCTGAGAGCCAGAGAAATAGTCTTCCCCAAGGGAAGAATATCAATTGACTATCAGATAGCAAATTATCATCCCTGAAAATATATGTATAAGTGATATTATACAGACTGAACAGATTCTACTTAGAAATATCTATCTGTCTATATCTGTCTGTCTGTCTATCTGCCCATACTGACAGATAATGAAAAATGAGGTCATGGATTCGAAAAAAAGGGTGAGGATGGGTATATGGGAGGATTTGGAGGGAGAAAAGGAAACTTGGGGAAATGATGTAATTATATTAGAATCTCAAAAAGAGGAATACTTTTAAAAATATTTTGTTTTGAGACAGAGTCTTGTTAAGTTCCCTAGACTGGCCTTGAACTGTCTTTGTACATCAGGTAGGCCTTGCAATTGTCAGACTCTACCTTAGCCTCCCAAGGTGCTGGGTTTATAAGTTTGTGCCACTTGGCAATAGATGTTTTCTCACATTTTTAAAAAAAATTCTGAAGTCTCTACAAAGTCATAGTGAGAATGTAAACACAGACAGTGGGACCCAAGCACCTCTATCTCTCATTTAGCCTTCCTGTTGTGATGCTTAATGCTTTTTATTTTCAGGAATCAAATATTGCTATGTGTATGCACTGAAAAAGTTAATGTGTTGTTTTAAATTATTCCTCTTTCATAGATCTGATTTTGCTTTCATTTCTTGTAAAAGTCATATGTATTACTTAGAAACTAGTTCTTCAATAGTTGTGCTGATTTAAAACTTCTTTAACTGGTCATGATCATAAACTCGACAGATACAGGACTATTGAATTAAATCCTTTCTACTACCAATCTTAAACAGTGCTTCATTTCTTTGTATCCATTTCTGCAGAAGGAAGCATAAGCCAAGAAATATGTGTGTACATGTAGATACATTTATGATAGAATTATTCACACACATATACTGACAGGGACATGCATTGAAACACACTTTTAAAATAGACAATTACAGGCCCAAGTTTTATTCTGTTTCAGGGAGGGCAGTGCTATCATGTTTAGAATAAGAACTGAAAATAGTAGACATGAGGCCAGAGTTTACCAAGAATAAGCTTCATCTGCGGGAAAGAATGCAGGCAAGACAACTGGACAGAATGCATGGAGAGGACTTGATTGAAATCTTTTGACTCACAGAGATCAGCTTCCTTTGATACTTTCACTATTTGTGATGGACAGCGTGGTCTGAGAAATGATGCTGATGCTGAGTATGTAGGTACTGTGTCAACCTGGGGAAGTCATGAGTCCTGGTACCTGAGTTTCTTGACCTCTGCCCTATGTGTGTTTGACCAGGGAGAAAGAATATGACAAAATCTTGACAGTTTCTCAAAGGGGGAAGGACAAAATTGGGATACTTATTGAAGCTTTGAGGTCCAGTGTAAAGGCAGGTAGTTTAATGTGGGGATGGGAGTGGGAGTAGGTAAGGATTATGGCATGGTTGTTTAAGATTTGTGGACAATATAAGGCAATAATTTTGAGGAGAGAGATTCAAATGGCTTCAGTTGGAAGCTTGATTGATGCTCTATTTTATTTTCTTGGACAATAGTCTTGTAAAATAGTAAAGGTCATGCTAATGTGGACAGTAAGCCCTAGGGGTGGGTGGCTTTGTTTATCAGTTTCAAGGAGCATTACGACTCCAGGTCAAATTTTCTTGCTCTTCATTTTCATCTCCTTCTCATCTTCGTTTGTCCCCTTTCCCCTTCTTTTCCTTCTCTAATGTCTTTCTCCCTGGTCAAAACACTCCCTTTCCTCTTTTCACTTTCCTCTTTTCTCCTCCTCCTCTTCCTCCCCAAATCTCTGTTTTGTTTCACTATTATTATTATTATTTTGACATGAGCCCCCCTGTAAGCCAAGCTAGCCTTGAGCTCACTAGGCTGCCAAGGCTGGCCTCAAACTCAACCTTCTTCCTGTCTGCCTCTTGAGTGTTGAGTGTGTAAATGTGAGCTACTAGGCTCAATTCCAAGTAAAATTTCCATGTCTCTTGAGTGTAGAAGAAAATCCACGGAATTATCTGGTTCTCTTCGTTCCTTGACACATTTTCTTTTTCCACAGGTCTTAAATATTTCAGTACTTAAATACTTATAGCCATGCTGTTTCCTTAAAGTTCATTTAGAACATGATTTTCTTGTTTTTTTGTTATATTCATTTTCTGTTTCTGCTGTAGCAAATTGTCACAAACTTAGTGGTTAAAGCAAGAATTAAAAATAAATAAATTAGAGGTTTGACATAGATCTATTTGGGCAAAGACCAATGTATGAGAATGTGCCCTCTTTTGAATCCTGAGTGGGTCATTTTCTTTAGCTTCTGAAAGCTTCCTGTATGCCTTTGTTGATTGTACAATTCTTTATCTTCCATGCTGGGATAGAAGGCCGAGTTTCATTGGTTCTCAGCAGCCAAAGAGTCTTTACTTTTCATCACTTATAATTATATTGACCCAAACAGGATAAGGAAGGATATACTCCTGTCTCATGGAAATCTTCATCTTATAGCCTCTGTGCCCATTCAAGGTTATTTATTCATATGTTCTATAGGTGAGAACATGTGTGTTTGGTGGACATAATTGTGCCCATGTATAAACACTTTCTGTATACTACACCCTGCCATAATATATTCATAAATTAATCTTAAATATATAATCTTTAATAATAATGATGTATAAGCTCTCTCTCTCTCTTTGTGAGTGTGTGTGTGTGTGTGTGTGTGTGTGTGTGTGTGTGTGTGTGATTTACCTAGCAGGCTCAAGCATCAAGGATCAAGGGAAAAGATATGTTCTTTTTTCTCTCTGTTTATACCTACCTGTATATAGTTAAAACTTTATATGAACTTGACGTCTACCCTATATGCCATCCTAGAACCTTCATCCAGTGACTGATGGAAGCAGAGGCAAACACACAATTAATCACTGAACTGAACCCATGGAACCCAGTGACAGAGAGAGAGGAATGATGAGCAAATTAGCAAAAATGGGCTGGCAAAACCAGCAGAGACAGCTGATCTGAACAAGGGGGGAGAGCTCTTGGACCCCAGACCGACAGCTGGGAGGCCAGCATGGGACTGATCCAGACCCCATGAGTGTGAGAGTCAGTGAGGAGGCCTGGGCAACCTATGGGGCCCTGGGCAGTAGATCAGTGTTTATCCCTGGTATACAAACAGACATCATGTGTCCATAACACAAAGAGGGATGCTCTCTCAGCCTGGACTCTTAGGGGAGTGCCTGGACCCTGCCCTGAGTGAAATGATAGACTCAGGATATCCCCTATGTGAAAGGAAGTGGTGATAGCGTGGGTGACTTGGAGGCATTGTGGGGGAGGGTGCAGGAGGAGGGGAGGGTGAGGGAACTGGGAATAACATGTGAAGCAAGCTATTTAAAATTAAAGTAATAAAAAAAGTTTAAAAAATCTTGATATCTGAAGCTGGCTTATGCATGTCCACCAATCTCCTGTGCTGTAGTGGGGCTGTTCGTGCCCTTTCTGGTTGTTGAAGTCACTGTAACCAGATGAGAGTCACAAGGCATCTTCAGCATGTTTATAACTAGTCTCCTAGTTTTGGTTAGTCAAATTATCAGAAGGTTTAAAGGTTATTAACTAGGTACCCTTGTTTCAATGGTTTTCCCATCTTTTATGTAATGCTGCACTTTCAACTAGTGCTTAAATATGGAGGCATAGTAAGAAAATTCAGTTGTTATTGTTCAGTTTCTTGTTAACTTAGCATCTCATAGGTAAGCTGTTTTTGTTGTTGTTGTTGTTTTCCTTCAAGATGCCCATAGCTTTCCATTAATGCCTGGACCAGCTATATTCTGTGCTGCTAGACTCATTGTTTCATGATCTCCAGTGCTCTGGGTGTTCTCTGTCTTCATGGCAACCACACTGTGGTGATGGGAAAACATGTTATGTTCTTGCTTTCTTGCTTATAGTGCCATGTTCAAACAAATGTGTTATGCAGGTTTGGGCAGGAACAGTGCTGTCTGTTTAGTCTTACTAACCTCGAAAGAGCAGCCTCTCATCATTCAGGGCTCCATGTACATCAGGCATAGGCCCTTCTGAAAATTGCAAGATTTAGTGAATCTAAGATATTTTCATGTTTGAGGTATTAGATAAGTATTAATACTGTGCATGCTTGTTTTGTTTGTGTTCTAGACTCATCTTCAAATTCTGGAGAGAAGCATTGATGCCAGGCAAATCTACTTCCGGCAAGACAGTCTCTGTCAGACTCTGGGAGGGAATCTGTGTCCGTTGGTGACTATCACTGCTTTTCCCGAATCTAACAGTGCCAAGCATCTGGAACAGTTCCGTGAGTAGAACGATGACCCTCTTGCAGATTTGCCTGAGAGACCCCTCTGAAATCTTGGTAACACTCCTTCTATTTCAGAACAGAAGCAGTATATCTGACCGGGGACTTGCTTGTCTTGATTGAAATATATCTCTGAGTCTTCTTGATATGACACGAAGAGTAAATGTTCATGTCATTCTGCTGTGAAAGAATGGGGAAAATGGATTGCTAACTGTCAGAGAGAGGGAATGGCCTGCTAGGATACAGAGTAGATCGCCAGTGATGGTGACTTCCTCTTTGAAAACAGAACCAGGCCTAAGAATCACATTTTCCAACCTCTAATCCAGGCTCTTCTCTCTCCATGCTCTGTCCTGTTCTGTGACCCTCAGTTCGTCAGCAAGGCAGGGAAGGAAACAGAATCTTTGAGCCCTGGCTGAGGAACTCTCTTGGTAACCAGAGTACCTGGCATCTGAATGTCTGAGGATGTAAGAGGATATAGAAAAATCTCTGAAATCCGAGCAAAGCCAAATTAAGAGCACAGTAAAAACACTGACATCATTTCACATGTGGATACTTATACAGCTATACAGACATATGGACACACACAGACATCCCCACATACAGGTCCACGATGCCCTTTTAATACTAGAGTCCCAAGTGTAAGTGTCACTGACTTGTTACCAATGAGTTTCAGACCTCACTGGGGCAAGAGAAACAAAAGATAATGAGGAATGATTTGCAATGAAAAGAAATTTGGAAGATGAAAGAAAAGACTGGAGAATAAAAGCCAAGCCAATTTATGCCCAGAAAATACCATCTTACCTGATGAAGTACTAATGGTGTTCAGGTGACTCTTGGGTAGATACAAAATGTAATTTCTCACATCCCATCAGCGTCTGACAAAGGATGCTTAACAACCTGGCTAATCAACAACTGATTATCCCATCTGAATTAACAAGGCCCTAAAATGCTTTAATGAATAGTAAGGGATTTTTAAAAAATTCTCTTACGTGTTTTATGCATTTAAGAGCAATTTTCCAGCAGCTATAGAGCCCTCCACTTGGCAGATGAGCAGGGCCCGGGAGTTGAAGATAGTAATCCAGGGCGGTCTTCACTGGGTAATTATTTATTTAAGAAAGTAGATACATGTAAGTCTGTGTTTTCAAACTTTTGTTCCCAAGGAGTGGAGCATAAAAGAAACATTATATATATATGAATCAGCCGCCATTGATTTGTAATTGGTCGTTTCTGCTTGTTTCTTCTTACTCCTTCTCTTCTTCTATTGACCTCTTTAGGTTTTAGGAAACTTCTGATCCTCTGGAAAAATAAGAATTATTTCTGCTTGCTATTTATGTGATTAGTTAAATATATATATCCTGTGTCTCTGGGCTATGCAGCCTCTGGTCCCAGCACTCCAGTGTCAGGGATAGACTCACTCTCATGGCGTGAGTGTCAGGCTAGATGTGAAGTGGCTGGACACTCTCATAGTCTCTAGGCCACCCTTAGACCAGCACATTCCATAAGCAGGACAGACTGTAGGTTGAAAGCTATGTGGCTGCGTCAGTATCCCAATTCTTCTACTGGATGTCTTGCCTGGTCACAGGAGATGGCCAGTTTAGGCTATATATATATCTTCAATTACTAGAAGTCTCAGCTGGGGTCATCTTTGTAGATTTCCTGGGAGTTTCTGATGTACCAGGGAGTTTCAACATGACCCCGAAATGCCCCCTTTTTCCAGTTGTCTCTTCCAGTAATCTCCCCCCCCCCACCTGATCTCTCATGTTGTTATTCCCATTTACCTCCAGTCTTCAGCAACTGGTAGAAACAGATGTAGAGACCCAGAATCAAACATTAGGCCAAGCTTAGGAGGAAGGCATGTAGGAGCCATAGGGTCAAGGGCAACACAAGAAAACCTACAGAAGCAACTAACCTGGGCTCATAGGGGCTCATAACTGACAACCAGGGAGTCTGTATGGGACTGACCTAGGTGCTCTGCATATATGTGACAGCTGTGTAGCTTGGTCTTCTTGTGAGACTCCTAACTGTGGGAACAGGGGCAGTCTCTGACTCTTTTCTGGATCTTGGAACCCTATTCCTCATACTGGATGGCCTTGCCTAGTCTTACATGGGGAGGTGCTTAGTCTTACTTCAACTTGATATGCCATGTTTTGTCGATATCCACGGAAGGCCTACCCTTCTGAATAGAAATGGAGGAGGAGTGGTTCCGCGGGGGGGGGGGTGCAGGATGGAGGAAGGGAGGGACAGGAAGGAGAGGAGGGAGTCGAGTCTGTGGTTGGGATGCAAAACAAACAAATAAATACATTAATTAATTTTTTAAAAATGTAAACGTTTATGTGTTTCACTGCTTAGAAGTGCTATGACTTTGTTTGATTCCTATCTTTCACCTTCACCATCTTGAAATTTTTAAAAGAAACAGTTCCTACCAGGTATTTGTGACAGCGTGGAAGGAAATTAAAGGTCTTTAACTAAGTAAGTCAAGTCTGGCCCAGAAGGACAAATACCACATAATCTCATTTATCTGTAGAAGCAAAAATATACTTCATAGACTCAGATACTATGCTGTTAACTACTTTTAGTCAGCCTGACCAAAACTGTCGTCAGGTGACAAGAGGCAATCTCAATTGCCTCCATAAAATTGGCTTGACAACAATGCAGGCATTTATTGATTAAAGATTGATGTGGCAGGGCCCATCCAGCTGTGGACAATGCCCAGATGGTCTTGGTTTGTAGAAGAGAGTAAACTGTGCAAGCCATAGGGAGCAAGCAGTTAAGATGGGTTCTTCTGTGGTCTCTCCTTCGCTTCCTGCCTCTGGTTCCTGCTTTGTTTGAGCTCCTGTCCTACTTCTTCACGGAGGGACTGTAACTCAAGTAAATCCTCTTTTCTCCCAGTTTGGTTTTGGTCAGTGTTTAAGGAGACCAGTAGAGAAGTGAACTAACACACAATCAAGTAGTGTTTTCTGTAGACTGAGAAGAGTACAGGGCAAAGAAGAGAGAGGGGATGACTCGTGGTTATGGTGATGCTACTGGATTGGCAGAGAAACTTAATGATCCAGGGCACAGAGAGATAACCAAACTGTTAGCAACTCACTGAGTAGCTGAAAGTAGCCAGTACACAGAGTTTTGATATTTCAGTCATAAAGACATGCTAAGTGTTTGAAGTGTTTTATACATCAAACCCTTTTTTTTTCAGATCATGGCTCATTGTAAACATACTGAAGTCTCACACTAACTCATAAATATGTGCATGTTGTGTGTCTATTAAGAAACTTAACAAATTAAAAATTAAGGGCCTCAGCAATGAATAAATAAATAAACAAGTCTTGACAAGAGGCCCTGGATTTACATTTTGCAGTGGGTTTTGCAAATTGTCTATCTGATTCTGAATAAGCCAAGGTAAATGAAAACATAGGCAAGGCTGGTGCTTTTCTATAATACCATCTTATTTTTACAGATCATGCAAGAAGACTTCCAGTCTATCCTGCCCATTCACTCACTGAAAAACAAACAAAAAAACACCTTAGCTGTATGTGTTTTGGGGCTATCTTAGTTAGGGTTTCTATTTTGGTGATAAAATACTGTGAGCAAATGCAATTCTGGAGAGGAAAATGTTTATTTCAGCTTACAGCCCATTCCACATCACGGTCCATCACTGAGGGAAGCTAGAAAAGGAACTTAGTTCAGGAACCTGGTTGTCATGCAGAGGCCACAGAGGAGGCTTGCTCCTCATGGCTTACCCATTCTTATTTCTATAAACTCAGGACCACTATCCCAGGGTGGCATCACCCCTGTGTTCTGCGTCAATTATTAATCAACAAAGTACAATTAAGCCCACGAACTTGATTATTGGCCAATCTTATGGATGCATTTTTCTTTTTGTTTTTTCACTCTCTTAAGCAAACACACAAGTTTGTTCAATTCGAAATCCATGGAAGTATTTCTTAACTGTGGTTTTCTCTTCTCAGTTAGCTGGAGCTTGTGTTGAGATGACATAAAATGAGCCAGCATAGGGACTGATTGTTATATTTTATTATGAGGATTAATTTCAGCAAACCTCATTTTACAGGTGTGACAACAACTGGAAATGTTGGAGGTTCAATAACATGACCGATGGTAGTGCCAGATTTCCAACTTTGATATTTTGACTCCGTAGTCTACAAACAAAGCAAATGTATTGACTCCATCATCACACTGTGCATTAGTATTCTGGCTTCAGTCACTGAGCAGGGCCTTCCTCTCTTGCCTTTGTACTCTGTCTGAAATTTAATAGGAAGTAGGCTAGTTGTTGTGGCAATGCCTAATAAATAAACCCCAGATATCCTGCTCTCTTGATGCTTACAGTGGGTTTTTATTTACTCGTCTTTGCATAATGATAATGTAGATGTTTCATGTAAGGGATACATAGATTATATTCTTTTGACTCAAAGATCTTTCCTTAGATTCCTACATCCCACAACACAGCTCAGATTGCAGAGACTGGACTTAAATGTGGGAGTCCACAGACTTAGCACAGCCATATAATTGGAAAAAATTTTTTCTATTTTTATTCTTTGCAAAATTTATGCATGTTTACAGTGTGTTTTTTATCATATCTACCTTCCAACCCCTTCCAATTTCTCCTGGGGTCTCCCCAACACCTCTGTCTCCTAACTCCATCATAATTATTACCATCATCATTATAGTTAGCCTACTGAATTCAATTAGTGCTGCCCATATGCACATAGCTGTAAGCACATTTTGCAGTGCATAAATGCCATCCCTGGGTCTGTAAAATAAGAACAACCCAACACAATATAAACACCATCTACTCCAAAGTGCAATTAACCATGCCTGTAATTCAGAAGTAAAACCACTTAACTTCCTGTGAACCATAGAATGGGATGTATTGATTTAGGACACAGTAAATGAGCCAGAAGCACAAGGCTCTTTGCCTCCAGGCCTCCCTCTAGGTGAGCTTAAATTGTCTCACTTGTTTCTTCCCAAGGAGAGCCTGGGCCAGCTTC